TTTTATATGTATTTCTTTTTGGGCTTGCCTACAGCTACTATTGTGAGAATGCACTTTTTTTTATCTTTCTTTTCATTTTAATCCGATTTCATTATGATCTGCGACATTAACTGTTAATAGATAATCAGTACAGTCAGTACATTAATGTTAAGTGATACACAAATTTCGTTCACCTCCAATAGGATGTGAACAAAGTTTGTGTATCATATATTAGAATTGACCCAACATGCATTAAAATGGCTAGGTACTCACATAGGAAGGGTACAATAACTTTATTTAAACAGCAGTTTTAGCCACTTACATCTTCAAATTTTGCAAAAAATGAGCAATATATCTAAAGTATTTTTAGTAACTGGTGGTGTGAGTACGATACAGTAATATGTTTTTGAGCACCAAACAAATTTATATATATAATTTTTTTTAAATAATAACAAAGAATAAAGGAATTGGTTATGCAGTCGTACGACATCTTGCCCTGAACTATGCTAGTTCATCATCATATCAGCCTCTTACACTTTTGTTAACAGCACGTAATCCAACACTAGGTCAAAATTCAACAAATAAATTACGTGAAGAATTGAAGCCTAATATTTTAGTAGATGATGGTGGGAAAGTGGATTTGAAATTTTTGAAATTGGATATAACCGATGAACAAAGCATTAAGGAAGCTAAAGAAGTTATTGAGAAAGATTACGGAGGTATAATATTGTTGTATGATTGGATGACTAAAGATTCATAAAAAAATATATATACATTAACCAATTGTCACTACTTATCTTTAAAGGGCTTGATGTTTTAATTAATAATGCGGGTATTGGTAAGTTTCAATAAAATAATACAATATTTTAAATCTTTTTTAAATAAAGATTTCGTATTAATATTTGTTTAATTTGTACAGCATTCAAAGGAGATATATTTGATATCAATGTTGTTCGTACAACATTAGGCACCAATTTTTATGGTACACTTAACGTATTCAATACTTTATATCCGCTTATTAGACCAAATGGTCGTATTATTAACGTTTCAAGTACAGCTGGAAAACCAAGTTTTTTGAGTAGTGCTTTGAGACAAGAATTTTCTAAAGAGAATCTAGATATGGAGGGATTAATTAAATTAATGAAGAGATTTGAGGTTTGCATACAATGTCTGAAATTAATTATGTGAAATAACAATAATTGATATTTATAGAAAATAACATGTATTAGAATGCAGTAGAGACGGATATTCACTTACAGGATGGATGGCCCATTCAAGGTAAAGTTATATTTAATAAATTATTATTCGAAATATATTTAAAAAATTCTAAATTGTTTTTTGATTAAAGCTTATGTAGTGTCCAAAATTGGAGTATCAAAAATGACACAAATTTTGGCTCGTCGCGCTGATAAGGAGGGTAATAATGTTAAAATATTTGCATGTTGTCCTGGTTGGGTAAGTTCAATATTTCAAATTATTATAAGTTAAAAAAGGTAAAAAGTATTGGTAGTTTACGGCATATTTTCATATTTCTAGGTTAAAACAGATATGGCAGGTGACGCGGCAAAACTCACTCCTGGTACGTATACTAATAATGATACTTGATATCATTGAAAGTTTTGAGTGCTAATATCATTATTTTTTTCAAAAGACCAAGGTGCAGAAACACCAGTATTTCTTGCTCTCGACGAAACAGTTGTGCCTAAAAGTCCAACTGGAACTTTTTGGTATAGAAAGAAAATTTTTGAATGGTCAAAACTTTAAGAAAGTTTGTTAATTGATGGAATGCGGATCCAAAAATAAAGATTTAGCGATTTTACATATATTATTAAACGTTCATAAATTTGAGTGTGGGCAAGAAAAAATGTATATTATAAAATTGATGATCATGAATTTCATATCAGTTTATTTTTAAAATGAATATTCTCCCTTGCCCGCACTCATTTATTGAAAATAGAAAACCTGGGACAGGTTACATTAACTTCGACCTCCGAATTTAACAATGTAAATTCTTTATTAGTTTTTCTAATCCAAACTGAAAATATTTGAGGTATGAATAATAATATTTTAAACACATGGGTCATTTTGCTAGGAAAATTATTATTTGAAAGCAAGTGCCAAACAGTTTTTTCCTAGCAGATGATCCATGTGCTGTAGTAAAATAATTTCGAAATCGAAAGCGATTTTAATGCAATGGAAATTTTATTTGTAAGTATAAAAAAGCTCGCAATGATCACTATATATGCAGGAAAATTACTTCACCATCTCTGTCAAAATACAATACTTTACGATTATGTAATGGAATATAAATTTCTCCGTATAATGAATGAAAAGAAAGATAAAAAAAAGTGCATTCTCACAATAGTAGCTGTAGGCAAGCCCAAAAAGAAATACATATAAAA